TCTGCCACTCCGCTCCCTGCCAATCCCTCCACTGGCCTCCACTCAGTGTCCTCCATCCCTCTCTGCCAATCCCTCCACTGGCCTCCACTCAGTGTCCTCCATCCCTCTCTGCCAATCCCTCCACTGGCCTCCACTCAGTGTCCTCCACCCCTCTCTGCCAATCCCTCCACTGACCTCCACTCAGTGTCCTCCATCCCTCTCTGCCAATCCCTCCACTGGCCTCCACTCAGTGTCCTCCACCCCTCTCTGCCAATCCCTCCACTGGCCTCCACTCAGTGTCCTCCATCCCTCTCTGCCAATCCCTCCACTGGCCTCCACTCAGTGTCCTCCATTCCCTCTCTGCCAATCCCTCCACTCAGTGTCCTCCATCCCTCTCTGCCAATCCCTCCACTGGCCTCCACTCAGTGTCCTCCATTCCTCTCTGCCAATCCCTCCATTGGCTTCCGCTCACCCAACGAATGCAATTCTAAATGCTAACAACTTACAAAGCCATGCACAACTTGGGCCCCAGCTACATCACCAACCTGGTCTCAATATACCAACCAGATAGTTCTCTTTGTTCCTCCCAAGACCTCCTGTGCTCCAGCTCCCTTGTCACCTCCAGGACTTCTCCCGAGTCTCTCCCATCCTATGGAAGTCCCTACCCCAATCTGTCCGATTCTCTCCTACCATGTCTACATTTAAACAATCCCTGAAAACCCATCTCTTCAAACAAGCCTTTCCTGCCCCCAATATCTGTACTTTATTTTCTCAATCAGCCCATCCCCCACAGTTATTACCTTTTGTATCAATTGATCCTCCCTTTTGGATTGTAAGCTGTAACGAGCAGGGCCCTCTGTATTCTCCTGTATTGAATTGTACTGTAATTGTACCGTCTGCCCTCACATTGTAAAGCGCTGCGCATACCGTTGGTGCTTTATAAGGCTGGCCATACATTATACAATTTTCTTGAGATTTTTGGTTTAGGATTTGCCAAAAACCATATAATAATAGGAGGTCAAACCTAACAGCACTTTCGATTGTATCCAATCAGTCTCTTGCACTACATAGTTGAAGGTAAATCTAAAGGAAATCGGGCAGAAAGTTAGACAGAAAATTGTATAGTGTATGGCCAGCCTAAGGGCTTGTTCACACTTGACTTTTTTTCCAACTCTTGCCAAACTCCCCTATAGCGTTTGACAAGCGTTGGTCCGGCGTTTGCGGAGCGCTTTTAATGCTCCAAAAATGCTGTATGCGAGGTTTAGCGACGGTTGCCAAGTGTTAAAAACGCCCCAAAAACGCCTATAATGAGGTTTGAATGGTGTTAACGCTCTGCAAACGCCTCGCGTTTGTGGAGCAGCACCACAGACTTGAATAGCAGGCTTCAACTCCTCCTGACTCGACCAGAGGCGTCCGTTTTGCCGCGACGCTGACGCTCCCGTGTGAACAGCACTATGTGCTGCAATGTGCAGAATTTTCCAAGGCGTTTGGAAAACGGTAAAAACGCTTCCCAAACGCCTGTCTGCCGCTTGCTGACAAGGCTAGTGTGAACGTGGCCTAAATCCTGTATAATTATAATGAATACAAAACTGCATTTTTTTTTAATTTATCTGCCTGGAGTACAACTTTGAATAAAATCTCTTTATTTATATACCTAAAAAAAAATAAAAAAATGTTATTACCCCCCTTTAAAAAAATGACATTTGTTTCCTTTCACCCCAGTGGGATGTCATTGTACATAATGTGACTGATAACATCTCTGCGAAGGTAAACATGTAATAACAGGGTGAGCAGGCCAGGAAGCCGGCTTACAGAATCTATACGTGAATCTACACAAACAGGATGTGCAAGGAAAAGTAAGGGAGGGAAGGTTTTTTTGGCCGGCAGAATTAACAGCGATACCGCCGGTGGCAGAGAAAGAATAATGATCAAACGGCTTCTGAAATGGCTGATGGAAAAAACAGGCCGATTAACTATGGAAAGTTGTACATTTCACTGGCTTCCTCTCAGCGTCAGGGAGGGTTCGGAAGATTTACAGCGCGCGTTTCCTACACATTTCCTGTATATCGCCAGCAGCGGTAAAAGCCAGAGGAGACCGGCGCGAGGAAATCAAACACCACATTCTCCAATAGGCTTGTGGGGCTTTGTGCTAAAAAAAAGTCGGTTTATACCTGTGTTTTGCATCAGCGCCATAGTAAGCATGCATATTACATGCATTGTGTGAAAAAACCCATTCATTACGAAAGGGCCGCAATACGCCAAAGATGCTGCATGCCACGCTTTTTTTTTTTTTAGGGCTCATGTACACTGCAGCTGATAAACGGACGTTTAGGAGCTTTTCTGCGTTTTTTTTTTCAGTAGCCCCTGAACTCCCCCTAATGGTTTCCTATGTGTCCATGTACACATCGACGTTTACAGGCAGTTTTTGTTTACAGACGTTTACAGGCAGTTTTTGTTTACAGTCGTTTACAGGCATTTTTGTTTATAGCCGTTTACAGGCATTTTTTGTTTACAGACGTTTACAGGCCGTTTTTGTTTACAGACGTTTACAGGCCGTTTTTGTTTACAGACAATTTACAGGCAGTTTTTGTTTACAGCCGTTTACAGGCAGTTTTGTTTACAGCCGTTTACAGGCAGTTGTTTACAGACAATTACAGGCCATTTTTGTTTACAGCCGTTTACATGTAGTTTTTGTTTACAGCCGTTTACAGGCAGTTTTTGTTTACAGCCATTTACAGGCAGTTTTTGTTTACAGCCATTTACAGGCAGTTTTTGTTTACAGACGTTTACAGGCATTTTTTGTTTAGAGCCGTTTACAGGCAGTTTTTGTTTACGGCCGTTTACAGGCAGTTTTTGTTTACGGCCGTTTACAGGCAGTTTTTGTTTACGGCCGTTTACAGGCAGTTTTTGTTTACGGCCGTTTACAGGCAGTTTTTGTTTACGGCCGTTTACAGGCAGTTTTTGTTTACGGCCGTTTACAGGCAGTTTTTGTTTACGGCCGTTTACAGGCAGTTTTTGTTTACGGCCGTTTACATGCAGTTTTTGTTTACAGACGTTTACAGGCAGTTTTTGTTTACAGCCGTTTACAGGCAGTTTTTGTTTACAGGCAGTTTTTGTTTACAGCCATTTACAGGCAGTTTTTGTTTACAGCCATTTACAGGCAGTTTTTATTTACAGACGTTTACAGGCAGTTTTTGTTTACAGCCGTTTACAGGCAGTTTTTGTTTACAGCCATTTACAGGCAGTTTTTATTTACAGCCATTTACAGGCAGTTTTATTTACAGCCGTTTACAGGCAGTTTTTGTTTACAGCCATTTACAGGCAGTTTTTGTTTACAGCCGTTTACAGGCAGTTTTTGTTTACAGTCGTCTTTTTTTAACACCCCAAGCGTTCAGGAGTAGATTTTATCAGCATTTCAAATGCAAAAACACGTGTAAACGTGGCTAACCGTGTTTAGAAGCATTTTTTTAACTGTTCTATGTCCAGATGCTGTCCAGAAACACATAAATAATATGAAAAAAATAAAATAAAATTTTTTTTGCAAAATTACAATTTTTGGTTATAAACTAAATTTGGGTTATTTTATATCACTGAAAAGATAACTGAATACATTTTGGCCAAAATTTATGAAGATTATTAATTTACAAAATTTTAGAAGAAACACTTTTTTTTCCAAATTTTTTGGACATTTTCATTTATATAGCAGAAAAAAAATACAAATCAGAGTGGTGAATAAATACCACCAAAATAAGGTTTTATCTGTCTCAAGAAAAATACTAAAAAATTCATATATGGGTACAGTGTTGCATGACCGCGCAATTGTCATTCAAAGTGAGAGAGCGCTGAAAGCTGAAAATTGGCCTGGACAGGAAGGGGGTGAAAGTGTCCGGATATGAAGTGGTTAAACCTGCTCCCACCCCAATTCTAATTCCTATACTAACTGCCCTGTAGAGGAAAGATGTGTATACTTACCTATTCTAAAGGCGCTCCAGTCCGGTCATGTGATCGGCTCCCAGCATCGGCTTTAGGGGAGAGGAGGGACTGTGGACAACGAATGCCTAAGCCTATGGGTGACATAGCTGCCCAGGCATTGGAGGTGTTGTCACTGTTCTCTTCTCTACCCTGAAGCCAGCACTGGGAGCCAGTCACATGACTGAGCCAGAGTGCCCTTAGAATAGGTAAGTATAGACATTTCCTCTACAGGCTAGTCGGTATAGGTGTAACGGAACCGACCCAGACTGCACTTGGGTACTTCCGTTAGAATACCGCTTCCCCTCCGAACCGAACACCGACAACAGACACCACAGCCGACCATACAAGACTAGACGACACCAATCATGAAGTAAACCAGGAGGTAGACTAGTTTATTTGAACACAGATACAAGATATATACACTCAGGGGGCAATCCCCCCTCCCTGCATAATGACACAGGGCGGGCAATCTACATTTAGTAACAAGAGACACACAGGTATTCAAACTTCACAGCAGCGGACAGTCCCATCAGGGGGGAGGGCTGCTGGAGACACCCACACCAAGCCAATACACATAAACACATACATCCCATAATAGTTTGCTCTCAAGCAAGACAAACAATTGAACAATGGGATGCAGCCACACAACAACACCAAACAATCCACAACCCCCACCCCACCTATCTCCTAGACATGTCTACACAATATTAGGACAGATCACCCTGTACCCCTAACAGGCACAGGGTGAGTTACCCATAAGAGGGATATGGGGAGCTGAGACAGGGGTCTCCCCACCTCTCCATAGTGAGCTGGGTTCCATGGGCCCCCCACCCAAAGTGACTCCCGTCACAATAGATATGTCACCTTTTCATTTTTTTGGGGAAAAGTTTTTTTCTATACTCATTTCAGATCAGCCACTCAGAACGTCCGAAGCATGGCAGCCAGTAAACTGGCATCTTCACAAGAACGGCAAGCAATGAGAAGCCTAAATACGGTACTCCTGTAAAGTGCAGAGGAATATCTGACTAGTAAACTAAGATGTGACCCACCTTATAGACTTCTGGATGCAGGCCTTGCAGAAGCGGTGTCCGCAGGGTGTCTGCAGCGGCTCCCGCAGCGCCATAAGGCAGATGGGACACTCATACTTGCTCTCCAGTGGGGGGTCAAAATCCACGTCGTAGCCTTGAGTCTCCTCCATGACCAGGCTGGAAGGGTTTCCGCTGGGGGTTTCCACGGACGGGCTGATGACATCATCCTTGGTGTTCAAGCAGCAAGCTGCCATAGCTGCACAGCAGGCGTCGTCGGAGTCGAGCGCCTCGAAGCTGGTCCTGGAGTTCACTAGACTCATAGTAGTAAGACAGTTGGGAGCCTCGCCACCATCTGAGAGAAGAAAAACATAAAATCTAATGAAACGGACAATCTTCAAAATGTATTATTTACCCTGAAAGCCTTTATTACTGCAATCTAAACACCATTGCATTTGCTGTGCGTACTTGTACATTATGTCAGGAGCCCAACCCCCACCCAGCAGATTCTGGTTCTGCTTTAAAAGCAGTTTAACCTCCCTAGCAGTCTGATTATGTCCATATTTCTGTGCTCAAAGCGGTACATTTTTTTCCATGGAAATATGTAATTTTTTTATTGTAGGCCTGTAATTTTTAGGAATAACTCACTGAAATCTGTCCGAACAAGAGTCTAGTAAGCATTCCCGGGGATGATAAAATTTGAAACACGAAATCATAAATTATAATTTAATAAATAATCATAAAAAATAATAATATAATAATAATACATTTAATTCAATAATATAATCAAACCAAAAACACTGAAATTTGAAATAGAGCGCCAAGTTCGCACATCACTGAGCAAAGTCGCAGAATCGTTTTCAGTGTCTGATGATGAATTTCCCCCACAATCATTATCACTCAATTCTGCAAGTGGTTCTGATTTACTATCGCTGTTCTCTAGCCGGTCTAAAACCGCTTTTGACCTAAAGGGACGCTTTTTGGACGCCATGGACATTTCTCAGTTTCCAGGCAGAAAGAACAGTAAAAATGCAGACAGGGCGCAGGACAAAGCACTCGGGACAAAATGTATGTGAAATGGTTTGATACAGGAATGTTATACTATGTGATTTTAGTGAATTTAGTGAATGTCACTTTTACAACTTTCAAATTTCCCGCCAGTTCTGTCCTCGTACGTCCCGACGTCGCAGGGAACGGAACCCAGAAGACAGATGCCGGCATCGGCCGGAGGACATTGCCGGGGACACTGCAGGGGGGACATCGCGGGAGCGCAGGACAAGGTAAGAGAAGAGATCCCGGAGCAGCGCTGCAGTGTATTCTCGGGGTTACCGCTTGTGGTACTGAAACTTTACCCCGAGCTACACTCGGGAATACCGCCAAGGGGGTTAAATGTATACCAAAATCCCAAGAAGTGTTATTAGCCCTGCCTGAGTTCTCCCCTGCTGCATAACAGAACACCTCCACCTTATGTTATTGAGGAGAGGGGGAGGTGTTCTGTAGCCCAGCAGGGGGAACTGGGAAGGGCTGGTGATGCTGGTTGGCATTTCAGTGCAGGAAAGACACTGTGTTGTGGATTTCTGGCAGGTCCGATATTTTTCTATACTTGCAGCAATTTTTAGAGAGATATAACATTCAGTTTCAGCCAAGGTTCAGACTACAGCGGTGCGCAAAATCCCATGTGATTCACACAGGAACCGCACTGCATTCCTGTACAAATCACATGCAATTTGTGTGCAGTGCGATTAGAGCCGTACATTTTGTATGGCTCTATTCACACCGCACCAAAAACGTGCAGAACCCTTTTTTGGATCCGCACTAGAATCGGATCGCAAAGGTATTCACACCTATACGATCCAATTCTGCACATTGCATCTCGTTTTGCGGACCAATGTCGGGGTGTTGTTAACATACACACCTGCAGCGGTTCGCATTAACGGGGTGCGATTGTGATGCGGAATTTGCACTGAAAACGCTGCGAATTCCGCACCGCATCAGTGTGAACCCGGGCTTACTGAAACATTTGTTTTTTGCATTTCACTTTTAAAGTACACTTACACTCTGAGCAATCCTGAAGTTAGAAAACCTTCCGTGTGAAGATCCCCATACATTTACTTACATGAATTCTGTGACACGTAGTCACTATGCCCTGTGAATAGGCACTGCCGTGTCACACATTTCACGGAGCCTGCCTTCCTAGGATGAGAGGAGGAGTTTCAGGAGGCGGAGTCAGTACAGGAATCAATGCTTGCAAGCAGCAAGGTACCATGGGATATAACGATGGAGAGCAGACAGAGGCAGCACATCATGAAAGGAGACATATTGGATTGTCATATAGAACTAGTGTTTGTATTGCTATTACAATGCTGATGTTATACAATGAAAGTGACCACAGGATTCTTCTGCCTAAAACAGGTCAGGAACGCGCACTGCATTATGGGATGCAAAAGGTGAAACACCACGGCTCCAAGGACACTATGTGGAAGCCCCTGATATGCTCGAGTATTAAAGCTGAAATCCAACAAACATTGTCTCAAAACAAACTCAAGTGCTGCGTAATCTTCCCTGAATCTTGGTGTACTTTGTGTATTTCTTCCAGATCTGTGCAGTAACACCATGCTAGACGTTCCCTCTGTAATAAAGACTGCTCTCTGCTGCTCTCTCCTTCTGCAGGGTGACTGGTCTTGTTACCGCCCCCTCCTGTAATTTTCTGCAGAAAGTCTTTAGCGGGTGGGTCCTCCTGGCAGGACAAGTTCGTCCAGTGCTCAGGGCGAAGATGGCGAATTGTCCCGCCCTCTCGTTAGGTGGCCAAGTAGAGTCCCCCATTACATCAGGTGTCCCCAATAGATTCCCACTTTAATTTAGGTGTCCCCAATAGATTCTCCCTTTGCATAAGGTGTCCCCAGTAGAGTCCCCCATTACATCAGGTGTCCCCAGTAGAGTCCCCCTTTAATTTAGGTGTCCCCAATAGATTCCCAATTACATTAGGTGTCCCCAATAGATTCCCCCTTTGCATTTAGGTGTCCCCAATAGATTCCCACTTAATTTAGGTGTCCCCAATAGATTCTCCCTTTGCATAAGGTGTCCCCAATAGAGTTCCCAATTACATCAAGTGTCCCCAATAGATTCCCCTTTAATTTAGGTGTCCCCGATAGATTCCCCCTTTAATTTAGGTGTCCTCAATAGATTCCCCCTTTGCATCAGGTGTCCCCAGTAGAGTCCCTCCATTACATCAGGTGTCCCCAGTAGAGTCCCTCATTACATCAGGTGTCCCCAGTAGAGTCCTCCATTACATCAGGTGTCCCCAGTAAAGTCCCCCATTACATCAGGTGTCCCCCCAGTAGAGTCCCCCATTACATCAGGTGTCCCCAGTAGAGTCCCCCTTTACATCAGGTGTCCCCAGTAGAGTCCCTTATTACAACAGGTGTGTCCTGAGTTTTTTTACCCCCCCCCCTCTTTTCCCCCTTGTACTGGCAGATGGGTACTCACTCACAGCGTCTCCTTCCTCTCTTCAATCATGTAACATGTCACACGTAACATGTCATGTAACATGTCACGGGGGGAGGATACCGCCTGCCCTCCTTCAGCAGCAACCTGGTGCTGAGACTGAGGACAGCTCTCACTTTCCGTGCTGGCTCTTTTCTGCCCCATGCAGGCTGAACGGAGGAGAAAACCGTTCCCTCCAGCAGCAGCTATTGACCGCTGCTCCTTCTGACAGGAGTAACACTGCAGTCACTCCTGTCAGTAAAGAGTGGGACAAGCAGCCAACTCACCCTTTCAACACAGCATCCGGGGCAGGTGCCCACTCAGCCCCCCTCCCCTTGTCATGGCCCTAGTCACTGCTATTCTTACAAAGTCATATCTGGGTTTGTAAGCAAATTTATTGCATGCAAAGTGGTCTTATATACTTTTTTGTTTATAGAAGATTATAAGAAGAATTATTACAGAAGATATTAGAGATTGTAGAAGAATATTAGAAGTATGTATGCAGAGTTCAACATTAAGAAAGACCTTTAGCCTACTTCATATATTGTTAATGTACACAGCCATTGCAGGAGGTTTATAATGCACATTCTATGGCATTACTGCTGCGTGTTTAAGTCGCCTCTTCCAGTTTAAATGCATTTAAAACTGTGCCATAAAAAGGGAATGCAAGTGGTTTTGAATGATTTTATTAAATGTGCAAAAGATCAGCTAAGAACTAAAGAATCTAAAGAATGTTGTCAATGTATGTTTAAATTGTAAAACACTTTGTTTCTGTGTATGACTTAGTAAAAGCGGGTACATAGGAGCAGACACGAGGAGACACATATCTGCTCATTGCATATTCAGGCTCTTCCTCCTGCTTTGTGGTGTCACATAATGATGGTGTACCTTCTGGAAGTCTCTTAGATTGTAAGCTCCAAGGATCAGGCCCTCCTAACCCTCTTGTATTGAACTGTATTGTTGCTGTATTGTCTCCCGTTATATTGTACAGCGCTGAGCAAACTGTTAGCGCCATATAAATCCTGTATAATAATAATAATAATTCCTAGATTGTAAGCTCAAAAGAGCAGGGCCCTCAATCCCCTCATGTTTTGCATTGTATTGGTATTGTTCTGTCACATGTTCTGTCCCCCTTTGTAATGTACAGCGCTGAGCGAACTATTGGCGCTTTATAAATACTGTATAATAATAATAATAATGAGATCAAATACACACCAAACACAATATTAAACCATTTCTATACCGGGCAATTTTACCCCTTCCTGCCCAGGCCATTTTTCAGGTTTCAGCGCTCTCACACTTTGAATGACAATTGCGGCGGTCATACAACATTGTACCCAAACTAAAATTTTTATCATTTTCTTCACACAACTAGATTTCTTTTGGTGGTATTTAATAATTGCCGGGGTTTTTATTTTTTGCTAAATTAACAAAAAAAAACAGAAAATTTTGAAAAAAAACCCCACGTTTTTCTTTTTTTCTGTTATAAAAGTTTGCAAATAAATAATTGTTCATAAAATTTAGGCCGAGATGTATTCTGCTACATGTCTTTGGTGAAAATAACCCAAATTAGGATGTATTATTTAGTTTGTAGGAAAGTTATAGAGTTCACAAACTATGGTATAGATCTGAATATTGATCAATCCTGAAGTACTGACGGCCAATCTAATTTCTTGAGGTCCAAGAATGTCAGAACAGTACAGATATCCCCCAAATGTCAGAACAGTACAGATATCCCCCAAATTTTTGCAGAGTAGACAGTCTGATGTACTTCATAAGAGGCATGGGGAGTTTTTTGAAGTTGTATTTTTTTTGTCATAATTTTTTGGAAACTGAAAAA